ATACTCTAACTTGAAGTCATTCTGTTAATATTATATTTGATAAATTAATGACGTGTCGAGAGCGTAATGATATTCGATTTCAATAAAAATCTTCCAAAAAAAAGTTGAGCAAACAATAAAGGTGGATAGATTGAGAAGGCATATAATCTTAGTGAGTATATAGGCATAAAAATTGTAAAACCCAAAAAAGTTTCAAATACCTAAATATTGAAATTGAGATATCTTAGTAAGTTATGTCGTTATATGGGAAAAAAATGGAATTGAAAAGAAAAATTATTGACATTACTGTAAAGTAGTATAGCTCACTTTTGTTCATAATATAACACTTCATATTATTAATGAGCGAGAATCTAGAAGGAAATTCATCGAATAATACCAATGTAGAAATAATTGATCAAATAAAAATACACAATTCTAATTAATACTTACTATAGAAACTTAAAGCTTGTGAAACCGTAGTCCAAATACCTAGAGGGGCATAGTTATACAAAAAGAAAAAAGAAAAAAAGTTGTATCATGTTATCTTACCTTGTCATATATCGAAGACGAAGGTTGAGCATCAAAGGCGGAGGCTGCGTTGTTATCTTAGTTGAGAAGATGGGTACAGATGATGGCTTGTCTTGATTGTTGGCCTCGTGAGGCCTCTGAAATTAATGGAGTGGCAACGTCAATTTCTTTGTGTGGATGGATCCCTTGAGCCTCCTAAGTTGTGCAGTCATATCATGTTATACGACGAGACAATCTTCTCCCATATCAGTTCGAACAAGTGGACATAGGTAGCAAGGTTCATTTTGCATATGTCCCTACAAAATAAATAACTTATGCTAGGGCCCCTTCTCAAGGAAAGCCTTGGGATTTGAGATCTGGCAGTGTCATGAGAGAAGTTGGTTGGGAAGATGAAACTTCTCTCTTTTTTATGCCCAGTTTGGCTTCCATTTATTGGAAATGAAAATGGATGAAATAATATTGTTTTAAAAAATGAGTGGTTGAAAAAGAATGAAAAATTTTCGATTTACGTGTAATATTATTTTATAGAAGATTGTGTGATTGAAATAAAGAAAGAGAGAAATGGAATGAAAATTAATGGGGGCCAAACGGGGGCATGTTTTACTTGTTTTGAGTGAGACTAGATTATATTTTTCGAAAAGATTTGGAAATTTGATTGTAATTATTTCTTTTTAATTTCATTTTGTTTATTTATAGAGGGAGATAAATTCATTATTTTACGAGACTTTAACAAAGGAGTGTTAAGGATGTCTCTAGCAAAAAAGAACGATTTGAGTGTCCAAATGTCAAAATTAAAATGATAGAATGAATTTGAATAAAAATATTTTGTGTCACTTACCTTAATTATAAAATGCTTTTGTTTGCAAAGGTTTTCTTAGTAAAAGATAATTATTAAAGAATTCGTAGTAACTGAAAATGTCTATGAAACAAGGCCTATTTGACACCCTTTAAAATTTTAAATTATTTGTTACATATCATTATCCATCACACATTCGAACAATAAAATATTTTGTACGTGCCCCCCAGGGCACATTCGAGTTGGTGGATCAATCACCTTTGGGGCGCTCGCAATCTCAGCGTGGAGAGTTCGATTCCTGGCGGGAACCTTTAATCCAATAAAGGAGCAATTTATTGGTGGATTAATCACTATGGAGGAAAACTCTCTTGAGGCCAGGAGTTTAGACCGAGTGGGAACCTGTGATCTAACAAAGGCACAACCTGCGGTTTACCTCCGCTAATCACTGAGGGGCCGGTAGCTAGAGATTCAGAATTTAGTCTGACGAAATTGGGACACCTGAGTATCAAAAAAAATAATAATAATAAAATATTTCGTACGTAAATTAATAGAATTTCTTTTACTTTTTAATAACATATTTTTTCAAAAATTACCATTCAAAACTTTAATTTGGATGGGCAACAAGCGGGGGGCATAAATTGCCTTTATCCTCTCTCACTCTACCCAGAAGGAAAGAAGAAAAAGAAATGAAGGCTTCGTTCAAGGCTAGATATGAGCCCGACAAGGCCGCTGCTGCAGCTACCGTCACCGCTGACGCTGGTGACTTCAAGCTTCGTGCCTCCATGACCGAAGCCACTGTCATCAAAGGCCCCAGCTTAAATGGTTTGTCCTTGGCCCTCGAAAAACCAGGCTTCTTCATCATCGACTATAACGTCCCCAAAAAAGTAAGCACTCCTGTTTCAATTAATCCTATGTTTGTTCTCTCGGTTTTGAAATTCTATAAAGTATTCTATTCATTTCAGGGAAAATTTTGAAAAAATTTATGCATAAGTGAATTGCGCACAATAATTATTTGTTGATTTTTGAGAATTTCCTTTTTAATTACTGTTCTATGTGTTTTCTGGGTTTTGAAATTGAGAACATCTTCTATTCATTTTAAGTAATTTTATAAATTTATACATAATGGAATGGCAGTATAATTACAAGCTTGCTCTGCAGTAAGTAATCGATGGGTTGGAGTAGAACTTTGATGCATTGGGAGCATAAGTTAGATGCATTAATCGGTTTTAAGATTTCTATGTTTTTAACTAATAAATGAGTTGATTAAAGAATTAAAGCATGTTAGGCTAAGCTTAAAAATTATACTTTTGAGTAAATTTACCTGTAAGTATTTAAACTTAGTAATTTATTTCCTTATCTGTGGAAGTTTGAAAAAATACTTATTTTTAAAATATGGTAAGAGTTGCTCTCGAAAAATTAACCTTGTTTTAAATAAAAATATCCAACACATGTTTTTGTTTTGGACCAAAAAGGAAGTTAAAAGTTTCATGCTTAATATACAAGGTTTAATGGCAGAAGCCATTTTAAAATTTTGTGTTCTTTTATTTGCAGGATTTTAGGTTTCAATTTATGAATACAGTAAGGGTAGCTGACAAGCCATTGAACATGACTTACATTCATAGCAAGGGGGATGACCGGACTGTATTGGATGGGACTTTGGTGCTTGATTCGACTAACAAGGTCTCTGCTAACCACGTGCTTGGCACAGAGAATAGTAAGCTGAAGTACACTTACATTCATGGAGGATTGACAACATTTGAGCCTAGCTATGATTTGGGGAAGAATGCATGGGATTTCATGGTGTCACGCAGGGTTTATGGAGATGATGTGTTCAAGGCTATGTATCAGACCTCCAGCAGAGATTTGGGGCTCGAGTGGTCACGGAGTTCCAAGTTGAATGGGTCTTTTAAGGTAAATGCAGTCACTGTTATGACCTATGTTTGCATGCTCTAGTTGGAGTGTGATGAATTTGCAGTTTTGCAGTCATTATAATTTGGTTTCATGAATCTTTATGGGAATATGATTTCTAGAAGATGAAATATTAATTATCAAGCCAGAGATTTGTGGAAGACAGGATGTTCGGTTCAAAACTTTTAATCATGAGAAATGATTGATAATGCTGGATGATCTTCTGTTATAAATATTTCATAACTAAACTAGATTTCCACGTGGCAGAGGGGTTTTCTCATTCTCTGTAGTAGTAATAGACTTACCCTGTTAAATGATAGAATGTGCAGCCAGGCTATGAATTACTTCTGGCCATTTGAATTATCATCATTTAGAAAAGAATATACATCCTATTCAAATCCCTTTTGGATAACAAGACAGAAAGCCCAACCCATAAGTTTCGAATGAAGAAGAGAGAGCTCCCTAGCAAGCACCTACTCCTATAAAGATGTCAGCTTGAATTCAAGCTATTATTAGTGTAATATTATAAGGATTCCCTCCAATTCATTTTCTTGTTTTCTGCAAAAATGTATGGGTGGTAATTATGTCAGAGGGTTGAGAACTAGGCTTCTCAATTTCCATAGGAAGGAATGCCTACTGTCTGAAAATACTTGAAATCGGTACGTAATTATGGGCAATATCTGGAACATGTGTAGAATTGTGTTGAAGGTTTGGATTCTATTTTTAACTATACAAATATTCGCTGTTTATATGAAAATGAACACGTCTAATTCTGTGATAAAAGTTCAAATTAGAGAAGGAGCCAAGTTTCTCTATACTTTTTAACAAGATCTGATGTGTGGATCTGGAGCCATAAACAGATTGCTGGGAATCGTTTTGAGACATTCTGGTTAATTTTCTTGTAATCCCACTACAATGTGCTATTTCATTTAATATAACTATGGTTTGGGCCACATTTTAGGGGAAAAATGCATTATTCATATCACATCAATGAGAAATATGTGGTTAAAAAATAAGGAAAAGTTTTAGATTTGCATGTAATATTATTTTATTAAAGAATGTGTGGTTAAAATGATATCAAATCACTGTTGAAGAATATATTTTTTTGAAAATAATGTGGCTCAAACAAGCCCCATGAAATGGATATGATTTGCACTTTTTTTGCGATATCATAATTAAACAAATAACAGGTCATTCTCAGTTCAACAGATAGATAGAGGATATCATTAACCCATGTGTAACATATCTGACTTTTCTGTTTTCATTTTTTCATCCTTCCAGATTTCAGCATCTCTCAATCTGGCAGATGAAAGGAAAATGCCCAAATTAAGTGCTGAGACTACATGGGAATTTGAAATGTGATTCTTTTCTCTAGTTCTGTTTGTCTGCTTCAATTGTTCATGTCTGGATGAGAACTTCCTGATGGATGAGATACATATTGGTGCCTTCTCTTCTGGAAATTATACTGTTTATTTCACAAAAGAGCTGATTTCTCGGTTGATGAACTACTTTTAAACATTTGCAAAATCACCATTAATGAGTTAAAAATTAGCAGTTGTTTGCAGATCGTGAGAATAACATGCATTCTTGCCTTGGCCTAGCAAACTTGAGTATGATCAACTTTTCTCCAGAAGTATTCATTAAGAGGGCAAGTCCTGAACTGGACAACAGATAAATTTTGTACACGTCTTTTATATTAATTTGGTTTAGTCTAACATATCAAATATGTTGTTATACCCAGCATATATTACAAGAAAAGGAGAGATGTTAGTCTGGTTTCCCTTTTTCGGAAGGTTGGTTTTATCATCTACCAAGTGATAGACAAATTTGTGGCGCAATGGGAATAGAATTCAACCATTCCTAGAGGGTGTTCAGAATGTTTATTAACCAACTTCCTCCCCACCTGAACAATTATCCAATTCAATTTGAAAGTTGAAATAAGGCTTTTGTGTTCAAATCGTTAATTTACGTGATGTCCGCTTTGAGAGAGCTTAGGTCCTCTTACCCCTCATGGATTTTATTTTCTATTATTATTATTATTTTGTGGTGATGGTGGGGGGGG